CGTCACGGGTGCCACAACGCCTGGGGTGAGGGGAGGGCCTGCGGTTCGCTGGATCCACTCCGTGACCAGGGTCAGCCACCTGCCCTTCCAAGTTAAGCGGCCTTGAGCCTGGCGGCAGGGACGGGGGGAGGCCGGGAGGTGACGTGATCCGGCGACCGCGGGCGCAGCCGGCTGATCTGCTGTCGATCTCGTCGGGATCCCCCCAATCGTGGCGCGCTTCGCTGTCGGGGGTGCTTCCGCTGGGATCGCGATCTCGCAGGAGCCACTCCCAGTCGACTTCGCCCCGAGGCTGATGTCCGTTGTCAGCATCGATCCCGATCGGGTGGAAAGGGAGCGCGGGGGAGATCTCAATGTCGTCGCGGGCGCCCTGCGCGCCCGCCAAGAGCGCAGGTGGGGCTCGATCCTGCAGGGGGTCTTCTGGCGATCTCACTATGGATGGAGGCGCAACCAAAAGCCGCAGTCACTGATGAATATTGATTGTTGGTGGCGCGGATAAGAGCCGCTGAACACAGATCCTGGTCTTGAAGAAGAGGAAGATGGGGGGCGCAGCCAAAAGCTGCAGTTGCTGGTGATTTGGAGGAGGAGGGGGGCTGGGCGGCCCTCTGGAGCAGTGCTGTCTGCTCTGAGTCCGCTCCTTCTTCTTCCCCTAGCGGTCTCTGAGGTGAAACCTCCGTCGCCGCGAAGGGGGGTCTGCTTGCCTGTCCTCCTGGTGGGAGGCCAGCGCCGTCAACTTCTATGGACTCCGATCGTCTCTCTCCAGATACCTCGTTCACTGCTGCCTCTTGGTTACCTACGAGAGCCTCGTTCTCGGCCTCAGTGGGCTGGGTGGAACCTGCCGCTGGGGCTTCGCAATCACGGTCTGCCCACCTGCGGGGGGAGGGGGGAGGCGTGGACGGTGCTTGGGCCAGGACGGGGTCCAGGGCGGCGCCAGGACGAGCTCCATTCCCCTCCATCTGGCTGCCATCCTCCGCGGGGCAGAGGGCTAACGTGGGCGCCGCTGACGCCGGCCCTGCGTTTGCCTCATCTGCGGGGGGAAGCTGATGCCTGTGGGGGGTCCGCGCCTGATCTGGATCTGGGTGGGGGCTGATCGAGAACAGTGACTGGGCTCCCGCGCGCTGCACTGAGGGACCACTGCCTCCATCCCCATCATCAGGCATATCCTCCATGGATCTGAGCCGCGGGCCACGACAGCGCCGCGAGCGATCTGGCATCGCGGGCGCGCGTAAACGAACCGGCGGGGGCCAGGGCCGGGGGGGCGCGGTGCAGCGTCCGGGCGCCCCCTTGAGCGCGGGAGACTGGCCCGAGGGAGCCAGGCCCGCAGACGGCTTGAGCCAGGGGGGGCTACGGACTGGTGGGGACACGCGAAGCGTCAAGAATAATTCCACCCTGGCCACGCGGGTGGATCTGAGTAGTCACCCTTGCCTGTGGCTGCGCTGGACCAGCTGCTCCACTGGTTGGCAGCTCCCCAGCCACCCCAGTGATCCCACTGCTCGTGGGCGCTGTTGTCGCCTTCGGCGGTCTTGAAACCCCCGCCGTTGTCGTCCCAGCTGCTGTCCTGCCAGCGCCAGCCCGTCGCTTACCACTTCTCCTGGCCCCGATCCCCGGCGGGGGAAGCTGCTGCCTTGGCCTGGTCGATACTAGATTGCAAAGCATCGGCGCCTGCTGCCGTCTGAGCTGCTGCCTCGCCGGCGTTCATAGTCTCCTTGACTATGCCGGCGATCCACTCCCGCAGTTGCTCTGGCGTCTGTCCTGCTGCCGTGGAGGCTGAGGCGATCGCTGGAGGGCCTGCCTCGCCCGCGTTGTCCTCTGCGTCGTCACCGATGCCGTGGAAGCCACGCCAGTCGGGTCCGGAGACGGAGCCCGCGCTAGAGGCACTAAAAGGACACGTCGAGGAAACGCCAGACACCTAGGGTCCCACTCGGTCCTCCGTCGGCCATCCAGCGGGGAACCCGGCTCCGCTACCAACTGTGGCAGCAACTCCCCTCCCCGATGGTGTGTCAGACTTGAGCCACAACGGTAACGGATTCTACAAATCGAATCCTGGAGCACGGTTACAACGGGCCTTCACAATCGACGCCTCCCAGCTAGTTGTAGTGCCTCAAGACACTTCTTGTGTAGCCATAATGTGTTTCCTCCTCCTCCTCCTGCTCCTCCGCCTCCTCCTCCTCCTCCTCCTCCTCCTCCTCCTCCTCCTCCTCCTATCTCATCATCATCATCATCATCATCATCATCATCATCATCATCATCATCATCATCATCATCATCATCATCATCATCATCATCATCATCATCATCATCATCATCATCATCATCATCAGCATCAGCATCAGCATCAGCATCAGCATCATCATCATCATCATCATCAGCAGCAGTATCATCATCAGCAGCATCAGCATCAACATCATTAGAATCACGATGAATATCGTCGTCGTCATCATCATCATCATCAGCATCATCATCAGCAACATCATCATCATCATACATCCCTCTTTTCATGTGCCGCCTCCTCATCCGCCTCCTCCTTCCCAGCAGGTTCATCCTCCTCTTCCTCCTCCTTGTCATGCGCATCCTCATCCTCATCATCATCAGCATCATCTGCATCGTCGTCATCAATATTAGTTCCATCATGATCATCATCATCATCATCATCATCATCATCATCATCATCAGCATCGTTATCATCATCAGCATCATCATCACCATCATCATCATCAGCATCATCATCATCCTCTCGCTTTCGCCTTCCCCCCTCGTCTTACCTGAAAGCGGGGAGAACAGGGGAGGCGACGAGGTTGGAGGAGAAGAGCAAAGGGGAAGCACGCGGATGGGGTGACGAGAATCAGGATCACGAGGGTGAAAGAGGAGACAGAGAAGGGAGGGGGTGGAGGAGAGGGGGGGAGGCTGGAGGGAAGGAAGGAAGTGTAGGAGGGCGAGGGCAGCACAGGGGAGGGCAGGAAGAGAGACGCGCAGGGGGGGACTCGTGTCGGCTGTCATCCCTGCCCCCGCGTAGTCTACAGCCGCCTGGGACAGGGCCTAGGAGCACGGCCGAGAATGGAGACATCAAGCCATCGTGGTTTCTCTGGGGCGATGCTCATGCTTTGATCATCGCTGCACCCGTGGCCCGTTTCAGAACAAGGAGTGGGTACGATACAAACACCAGCGCATCCCCACCCTCCCCCTTCCTCACCATCACAAGCAAAAACAACGGGGTACCGATCATCAAGCGAGGACTCAACGCATGCCGAAGACAAAGGTGCGCTCCAACGCTACAACCCACTGGGTGCGGTCCAGCACTGCGACTTTACGGAGAGCGAGCCCTCCAGCAGCTCGAGCAGGAAAAAAGGTGTGATGTCGCCATTGCCGCCGTTGCCGCCGTCGCCGTCGTCGCCATGATCGTCGCCGTCGCCGCTCGCTCTTGCCTGCCGCTGCCGTCGCCGTCGTGGCCGTCTCCGTCGCTGCCCTCGCAGTCGCAGCCGTCGCTTTCGCCAGCCCCGACGCCGCCGTCATCGCCGCCACAGGCATGAAAGGGGCCCTGTGACACACAAAGAAATAGACACGACTCAAAGGATTCCCCATAGTTTCCCATATTGTCTTGGTTTTCGTCTTCCCACCCGCTTCCCATATTTTCCTATATTTTCCCGGGAGTCGACGATTAATTGTGCCTGTGCGTTTCCCCATCCTGGAAATACTGCACGAACTGCACGTCGCATGGAGACCCCCCCTCCTTACAGACAGCCCGAGGACCTCCGAAGACGCCCCGAAGAGGACTCTAAGAGGGGCCCCAAGAGGGCCCCAAGACAAGAGAATCATGGACTTTCACTGTGTGGTTTTCAGTGCTGTTCCCATCCTAGGTCCTAAGACGGCCCAGCAGGCTGCCGAAAGCGCCCCAAAACTGCCCGAGACGGCCCCAAGACTGCCCAACACGGCCCCAAGACGGCCCAAGAGGCCCCCCAAAACGGCCGAAGACGGCCCCTAGAAGACTCTAAGAGGCTCCCGAAAGGTGGAACACCAAACCGACAATTCGAGTCTTCCGCCCCAAGAGGACCCCCAGGAGGCCCTCAGAGGCGCCCAAGAAGCCCCAAAGAGGCCCTCAAGAGGCCCAAGAGAGCTCTAGAAGCACTCCAAAGAGAACCCCAACAGGGCAAAATCAACCATCTGCCTAGGAGTCTTTAAACGTTTTTCGTCGTAAGAGGACCAAGAGAGCCCAAGAGCACTCCAAAGAGAACACCACAGAGCACCCCAAGAGGCAAAATGTACTTTGTTCCTTCAGCCTCAGAATGTTTTGCGTCGTCGCCGTGGTCGACGTGGTCGTGGCCGTGGCCGCGGTCGTGTGCGTGGCCAAGGTCTTGGTCGTGGCCGTGGACATGGTCGTCGTCGTCGTTGTCGTCGCCGTGGGTGTTATGATTTTTCTTGTTATTATTATTATCATTATTATTATTATTATTCGTAGTATTGTTATTATTATTCCTATTATTATTATTATTCAGGGTCGGCGGCACCGGCCAGAAGGCTCCGAAATGTTATACGAACTGCACGTCGCATGGAGATCCCCCTCCCGACCCCATCTCCCTCATCCGCATCACCCTCCTCACCCCCTCACCACGAGGTGTTGAGCGGCGCCCGTTCGCCTCCTCCGCCCCAGCGGTGACTCATCACGAAGGCCGGTCGGAGGTCGTGCCGCGCGGTAGCCATGGGTATCGACATGCAGGCACACTGGCCAGGGGAAGCACGACAACAGCAAACCCCAGATATGACAATCTTGGCCGAAAACGAGAAGTGCGGCACTCCAGGGAGAGGTAGTAGCATGCGAGGCCGTCCTATGCTCAGCAACGTCGAGAAGAACACCCACAGGCGACCGCAGATACGCCGGCGGCGACACCGACGGGTCCGATAGCGACGCTGGCTGTGGTGCAAAGCAACAAAAACAACAAACAAGAACCACGACGAGAAGAAGAGGGCAACGGTCGTGGCGGCGGTGGCGGCATCGGCCATGGCGGGTGGCCTCGAGGACTAGCCGGATGTGCAGCTTTGCCTCTGCCTCGGCCCTGCTCGGGTCCTGCCCGCGCGCGCGCCATTTCTGCTCCTCCTCCCCCCCTCCACCGCCGCCGCCTCCTCCTCCTCCGTCCCTCCCGAACGTCCTCCTCCACCTCCTCGGACGAAACTGGTCTGGATAATCGAAGCCGACATGCGGAGACTGTCGAATCGAACCGTGGACAACCCCAGGAGCTTGAATCGCAGGGCCCCCTCCTCGTGCCCATTCTGCACCTCCGTTTCCCCATCTTACGTCTCATCCTGTTCCTCCTCTGTTCCCTCCTCTTTTCCCTCCTCCTCCTCCTCCTCCTCCTCCTCCTCACGGATCCCCCCATACCTCCACGGGGTCCTCAGGCCGCATCAACTGCGTCGTCTTCGGCTCCTCCGCTTCCGTCTTCGACGACCTCGCCGCGGGGCAGCGCGCCCCCCTCAAATCTCCCTCTGCCTTCATCCATTACATTAACGCATTAACTGCTCCCTCCTGCCGCACCACCAGACGTGTCCGTGGTCAGACCGGGCGTTTCGCGTGACTGCCTCACAAAAGACGATCCAGATGCTGAACAACATTCCACCACTTACAAGACTGGAGTGCAGGTGGTTTCAAAGATGGCATTCTTGCCATAGCGCCGCGCACATTCATATTGATAAGTTCCAACACCTGTCGCGAAGGAGGGCCAATTCGTGTTAAATATGCGGTTTCAGCCTCAATTATGTGCATCTTCGTGCCCAAAGTTCTCAATGATAACAAGCATGAGTACCAGTTCGTGTTCCAAATGCGGCTCTCATTTTCGAGCGGCGAACGTTCGTGATAAAAGCTTCCAACTGTTACAATGACGGAAAGCCCTTGCTTTTCAAAATGCGGCTATCCCCAAAGCCACGCACATTCTGGTTAAAAGTTTCCAGCCACCACAAGAATGGAGGCTGGTTCGTTTTCGACATGCGGCTCTCGTCTCAACGCCGTGCAAAATCGCGTAATCAAACCCGACACCTCCACACCTACACCGAAAGAAAGGGGTACAAAATCGCAGATCGCATTAGAGACGCGCACATCCGTTGTCAAAGCTTCCAACAGCTACAAGGATGGAAGCTGGTTTTGTTTCAGAATGCGGTTTTCGCTTGAAACTTCCTCAGATGTTAAACCCGATGTTCCGAAACCCGCCAGCCAGCCTTCTTGGCTGAGGTGGCCTTGCGCGTTTCAGTTTCCAATCCTCTCCGTTTCTCTTGGGGAAGTGGTGGACCACTGCTCACAATTAATAAACACCGCCTCCTCCATTTTACCGGCCCCTGACCACGGCCAGTTCCACCCCCACCCGGAGCCGTCCCTGGAAAATGGTGATAGAAAATGCATGTTGCGGCAAAGTCTGTATCATTTTGACAAGGAGTGCGGGGATGCAAGCATACTGCTTGGCGTGTGCAAGCAGACCATCCCTGTCCAGAGATCCGCCGACCCGGCGCGTGAGTTTCTGAAAACGTGGGCTTGGGCTCGCTCAAGCTTCGCTCTGTCGGGGAGGCGGGGGGGGGGGGGCTGACGCCATTCAGGCCCGGGAGGGAAGAGGGGGGGAGGGGGCTGACGCCATTCAGGCCCGAGAGGGAGGAGGGGCGGGGGTGTCTGACGCCATCAGGACTGGGAGGGAAGAGGGAGGGAGCTTCGCTCTGTAGGGGGGAGGCGTCAGTGCAGATGCGATGACAATACCTTTTTCGCACACCTATCGTGTCTTACATGATTCACACGGGGATGTCGTACGGGCTATCGCACTGACATTCGTCCTAGTAGTTGTCATATTCAGCCAGAATCTCGAAGTCGCCCAGGTCATCGTCGGGGCTCACCGATGGGAAAAAAGGCGCTCGCTCGACTCCGTCGTCCAGGATGTCCTCGCGGCCTTGCTGACGTCGCTAGTTGGCTGAGATGAAGGTCGGGTCCTGCACAAGACGCCAGTAGCCCCGAGTCAGGAAGTCCACCAGCACGGATCGAGCTGCACACGATCCCTTGATCAGGCCGTCGGCTGGCATGGCCTCTGAATGAACCCATCGCAGCTCAGCGGTTCCATCCTCCATCCCTTGTTGGAGGCCTAGCGCCTCGAGTGCTGAGCGGCGGTCACCTACGCCCAGACCGGCGCTCGCGCTGTGCGCCAGGGCGTCGCGCAGACCCTTGCAGTCGGTGGCCATGGTCGCCTGCGTGAGCTGCAGTGAGCCTCGGATGTCCTTCAGGTTAACCCCGCCTTGCATCAGCTCCGTCCACGCCATGCGCATGTTGGTCAGGCACTCGCGGCACATGTGCCCCGACTGCACCTCGCATCCCAGGCTCGACCGGGTCACCAGTGGGGGCTTCTTCGAGGTGAACTGTAACGAGGATATGGCGCGGCTCTCTCCGTGTAGCAACGCTCGCTCGACCATCCCGATGACGCAGTCTCCCTGCGACTTTCCGCCCTGCCTGGCGGCCCAGGCCGCGTCGTGGAAGGCGATGAAGATCGGGTCCTTCACTGCGCGAAATCGCACAGGCACGCGGGCGGTCTCGCGGGCCGTGCGGACCACCTCGTTGATATGCGCATGGCCAGCCCATATGTCGCAGTATTAGTGCATGACGAAAGTACGCTGGTGTCTGCAGCGATGAGGCTCTGGCCCTGAGATGCCAGATACTGCAGGCCTCCAATGGCCGCTCTGCGCGCGGCGATACCCCGGGCCAGAAGGGCGTCGTCGGCCCGCCCCGCTCGCCCGCCCCATCCCTCGATCATCCCCGCCTTCGCGGCGGCGGCGGCGAAAGAGAGTGATGGGGAAATCTGACAGCTGCACCGCGCCCACGCCCGTCCGCCTGAAGCACCCAGTCTCCCGGGAACCCCACTGCCCGCAGTTGCGCAACTCCCCGCGCTTCTTCTTCGCCACGTCGTTTTTCTCCCGACCGGCCGACGCGAAGTCGCCCACGCGCGCGAACGCCATGGCGACCAGACGGCCCTTGTCGCACATAGTCCACACGCGCGGCTCTAGCTGCATGGCGACCCAGCCGGACTCGGCCATGCGCCTGGCGACCTCGGCGCACCACCCCTTCGGGGCGTCGCACAGGCCGCAGGCCTCCTTAAGCATCAGCGCGACCTCGTCCCCCTGCAACTCCACGGCCTCGCGCAGCTCGCGGACGGGCTCCACGGAAATGCTGGCGCGGGAGCTCCGGGACTGCAGGAACGCCGCCGTCGCGTCGCCCTTGTGGAGGCGCAGGTGGAGGCGCCGGCGCCTCGTTCGCGCAGACCTGGTAAGCGAAGTTTCCTCGCCGTGACGGACGCGGTCGGGCTCGCCGTCTTCGCGTGGCCCAGCAGCGGATCCTCGAAGCCCAGGAGCACGATGCGGGCCTTGGCCTTCCCGTCCGTCTTCACCGCCATTTGCCGGCGTATTCTCATCGGTCCCCTGGGTCCAGCGTCCGCTCTCTTGGCCGCCGCAGTGACCTGGTTGGCCAGCCAGCCGTTGATCTCAGCGTTCTCGGCTGCACGGAACTGCCCCCTCATGGCGCGGTCCAGCTTCCGGAGGATCACCTTCCGGCCGCCCTTCTTCACGGCGGCGGCAGCGTAGGCCGAGGTGTCCCGCGTGAACCTGCGCCAAGCCTTCTCGTCGGCACGCGCACCTCGCAGGCTGAGGACTCGTCTGAGAGGGAGGCCAGGACGTCCTCCATGCCGAACTGTTCGCGACTCTTCTTCGGCGCCGGGCCACCCTCGCTCTCGACTTCCTCTCGGGGCCGAACTTCTCTTCGAGGGGCAGGTCGTTCAGCTGCGGGTTCTAGGGGGGGGGCTCGAAGGCCACCTCGCATCTCGCTGAGCCGCTGCCTGAAGCTCACGGGCAGGTCGTCTCTCGGGTCGCAGGGCCTCGCCAGCGGCGGCAGTGTTCCTCCGTTTCTCCAGGTGCTTCGGCTCCGCGCTCGGGAGAGGGCTCGCTCGCCGGCAGCTCCTGATCCGGCCCCGACCTCCCGGGGGTATCCGGTGGCGGTGTCTCTGTACCTCGGGAGACGCCCTCGCCCAGCGGTATACCCGGCTCCACGTTCACGTCCACCGCCGGGGGTGGCTCCTCGACGTTGGCAATATCCTCCAGCTGGTCGCAGTCGGGCTCGCCTTCCCCGGCGATGTCCACCACGAGGGATAGTCTCTTCAAGGCCTGGCCCGTGCGCTGGTGCAAGAGGTCCCTAATCTCCATGTCCAGCACGATCAGCGTTCGCTCAGCGTCGGACACCAGGCGCAGCTGCTTTGCGCGGCTCGAAGGACCTGTCCCCGAAAGGCCAGTATCACCACGTTCCAGAGGCGTCCTTCCTCCAGTGGTTGCCGTAGATGAGCGAGCACCGTCGCTGGCCCGACGGAGCCCCCCTTGGACGCATTGTTCATATCCTTGCCGGTCTTGCCCGCCCGGCGCCAAACGTGCGCCTGGTCGCCCACGGTGTGCTCCCGCTGCGCCTGGGCGCGTTTCACCGCTGTCAGTCGGGCATGGCGATCTGCCGGACTCTCCGCATGCCGAGCGGGCTAGGAAAAGTCGTCGCACGGCCTGTTCCGCGGCTGACCCCGAGCGGGCCCCCTCCTGAAAAAGAACAACCGATCCCATCAGCTCGCTGTCCAAGGGTCTCATGCGACGTCCGAGGTCGATCTGGTCCGGGCTGAAACCTGAGCCATTCGGCACCTCGTCGTGGACGGCCGCCGCCCACGTGAAGAGCTCGTCGACGCTGCGCGCTGGGTCCAAGTAGGCCAGCTTCGCGGCCGTGTTCTTCACCAGCATGATGATGGGCCCCACCTTGCCCGTCCTCCAGCGCGCCCCCCCTGGCTCAGACTTCCACTGGAGGTCGTGCTGGGCGGCCCTCTCCACTTTCACGCGGGCCCCGCGCTCTCCTGCCAGGCCCTTGCGGATCCGTAGCGGGCGCCCGAAGTACTGAGCCCAACAGCGCACGAAGGTGTCCCAAGCCTCGTCTGCGTCGGTGTTGCCGCATCCGCCTCCACCCGGTTGAGCGGCGCGCACGTGGGCCACCGCCTTCGCGCTGCCCTCGTCCACCGGGAGCGCGCCGCGCGCCCAGGCCCCTGACAAGGGATGGACCAAGTCGAACCCGTCCATCACGAGACCGCGCAGTGAGTCCGCCAGTCCCCCCGACGCCGCAGGACGCATGGGTTGCTTCTGGAAGCGTTCGAAGGCGGCGCACTTCAGCTCTCCAGCTTCCTGTTGCACCCAGCTGGGAGCCTGGCGTCGTCGTAGAAACTCCTTGAACGCTCGGTGGAGCTTGAGGCGAACCGACTTCCTCAACTCGTCAGTCGGGCCCTCCGTCTCGGCATCCTTCTCGGTGGCCATGACCTCGGCCTGCTCGACGCGCCCCTCGGTCAGCTTCTTCAGTGCGCCCTCGATCTCGCTCGCGCCAGCGGTGATCCCAGACACCAGGGCATGGGCCAGCACCTCCCAGCTGAGCGCTCGGCACAGGGCGTCTGGGTACTTGACAGAGCCGGCCACCCGCTTGGACCCTTCCAGCTGCCAGTGATCGCGGTCACGAGGGCGCCTTCCGCTCTGGGACCTCAGCTGGCCGCCGGTTGGGCACCAGGAACCTCCACTTTTTGTACACGGCCTGGCCCGTCTCACTGTCCCGCATGCCCCAGGCACAACCTGCTGCGGTGACGCCGTACAGCTGCTTCCCAAGATTCATCGGCGACTGCGCGGCCCTCAAGCTGGCTGCGTTCGCGGGCTGTTCGAGACTGAGCTCGCACCCCAGACGCAGCGCGTGCAGGCCGACCTCGATCATGTTGTTCATGACTGTGGTGCCCCAGGCTATCTTCATCTTCAAATTCGTAATCTGCTGGTCACTCTTCTGGTTCAGGGCCTGCAGGATAGAGATGGGCGCGCATGGCGGGAAGATTCGGACCCGCCGGGGCCTCCTGGCCTCGATGGGCGCCTTGGCCCGGGCCACCGCGCTGGCCTTCTGGAAGTCATACTTCTTCCAGAGGCCCATGCGGTAGACAGCGCCGCCCTCCTTCTCCGTGGCCCGACCCAGGGGCGAGTCCTCTGCGCCCCCGATATCGAGGAGATCCAGCTGCGAAGGCCTCTGTACTGCCAGCATGTTGTCCTTCAGCTCCGCCTGGCCCCCCTGCATCTGGGCGGCCGCCGCGCGCCTCTCTGCGACGCTCTGAGCCTTTACCAGCATGGGCGGATCTCTAGCCAGCCCCACTGGCCACGATGCTCCCCCAGCCCCCTCGCCGGTCCATCCGCAGACTTCGGGGGGCCTTTGAGGACGCGCCCACGGGAATTCCATTTCATTCTGTCCTGAGCGAGGGCCACCATGCGATGCCCGCGGTGGCCGGACTCCCTCCTGCACCGCGCAATCTTCTCTGGGCCCTTTCGAGAGCTCGCCGCCCCCCTCGGCGCAGCGGCGGCGATTGTTCCGCACCCGCGGATCCGGGCGCGTCTCCTGGGGGGCCACGCTCTTCCAGTACTCGGCCGCTCAGTCGACGGGGGGGCGCGCGCGCTCCTGCCCGGCCAGGTCTGCCCGCCAGCCCGCGAGACTGCCGAGCCTCGACCGAAGCGCCGCCTCCTCGTACACAGCCGACCGAGCCATCTCCTTGCAGACGCGGGCCACACGCCCGGGGTTCGCCTGGGGCCCGCGCCCGCCAGGAGGTCGCAGGCCTGCTCCCTCCAGCGCGTCGTAATACAGCTCCTCGGGCGATAGGTCGCACTCTTCCGATGCAGGGGCCGCCCCCGCCGTCGGCAACAACTCTGCGCTCGTGCTCGGCCTGGTGGGTCCAGGGCGCAGCGAGACAGGTGGCCGTGAGCAGACAGGTCCGGCCGAGGAGGAGGGCGCCACCTCGGCGGGCGGGGCCTCGATCAGCTTCTCCCATTCCGAGTCGCTCTCCTCGGGGTTGGCTCTGCCTGTCGGCATGTGGATATGGAATGCACTGAAGCCTCTTCTTGTTCTCGAGCCCACATGGCGACGGACGCGAGGATGGACCCATGGTTCGTGATAGCACCGCTGTGCCCCGTAGTTTTGATCGCATGGCTGTTTGACTCGATGGGGCCCTCGATCGCACTGCTGTTTGACTCGGAACTGTGCTCGCTCGTGTCGAAGTCGCTCTCAGCGTCTGCAACGACGTGCTCGGGCGAGCGCTCGCTTTGGTCGGCATCGGTCGAGACGCACTCGCTCCTGAGGTCGACGATGGAGGCAGTGGCAGTGATGAATCTGCTGGGTCACCCGTCAAGGTAACCGTGGCAGCCAGGTCTCCGAAACCACGAGGGAGAACCAGAGCTGGCCCCCCTGGTCTCGCAGCCCCAGCGGGCGAGGGACCCCTCCTCTCCCGACGCCCATGCCCGTCGTATTGTTGGGATAGGTGAAGCGAGTCCGCTCCGTCGCGTTCGTCTCCGACAGGTCCAGGCCGCCCGCGTCGTAGATCTGCTTCCGGGCGCGCTCGAAGAGGGCCGGGCCACTCATGGACTTCGCGGCCCCGCTGCCCACGATCGCGCAGCCCTGGAAGTCGGCCTCGGCGAAGAGACTGAGTCCCAGCGCAGTGTTCAGAGGGATGGCCAGGACCCCCTCGCCCGCGGCCTCCTCGACCGTTTCCTCGTAGCCGATGTTCACGTTCCCGCTGCCACTGCCCCCTGTCTGGCATCCGGAGGGGCAATCCACAGTTTGGTGCCCCAGCTGCCGGCAGAAGAGACATTCCACGCCCGCGCCGCGGCCCTGCTGTAGTCGTCCCGGTCGATCGCGTGCTGGGCCGGCTGGGGCTCTCGGGGGGGGTGGCGCACCCTTGTCGCCACGGCCTCGGCCCCCGGGCCCCCCCCGCGCGCCCTTGCCCGCGCCCTTCCGCGAAGGAGGCAGCGCGGCCAGGCCCGCGACCAGGCAGTAGCCGCGAACCCTGGAAACGTTGCAGATAAGCTTCCTGGTCTCCTCCGAGGCGCGGTTCCCTGCATCCGCCTCATGCGCGGCCAGGGCCTCGTGCTCCTCCAGCGCCGCAACGTCCTCCTCGCCGGCACGTGCGTACTCGTCCGGCGGCAATTCGAGGTCGGCCCCTTGCTCGTCGCTGATCTGCCCGAGGGCCTCGTCGGGCAGTGAGCTGCACGATGATTGTTATGCTTCGTCTTGTTGTCTCGCACGGCCACGTCGTTCTCTGCCCACGCGCATCGCAGGCATCTCCTCACATTCTCAAGTTCTCAGTCTCCCTTGATAGTGCCGCTCAGCACAGCTCCCTCAGAGGGATCGAGATTGCTGCTGCGCCAGAGGAGGACACCCCGCACGTCACCGGGCAAAATGACTCCCACATCCGGCACCATCAGTTTGTATGCCCGCGGGAATTGATCGCAAGCTTCCTCCTCCGTCTCGATCCACTGCGCCATGCTCTGTCCCATACGCCGTGTCAATGCACTCCGACCCGGGCCTGCGTAGAAGTACGCGTCCGTCTTTTCGCCGATGTCGGATACCACTTGAGTCCCCACCTCCCTCCTGAACGCTTCTATCAGGTTGTTGGGGCCGTCCGCTGTGGCAATCGACTTCGGCAGTCGTAGGGCGAAGCGCTGCCAGGCAGACCCTTGATGCAAGGCGGCCACGAGCCTGGGTCCCAGCAGTGGCCTCACCTCTTCGGAGGAGCCCAGCGTGAGCAACTCCACCGCAATGGCGTAGTCCTCCAACGTCCGGCCTTCCCGTTCCATGTCGGGATGGCCATGTCCGTGCGCAAGGCGGGGGCTCCGGAGGATCCAGCCATTGCGCGCCAAGCCGCGGCTCTCGGAGCCACGGCTCCGCTACCAATGTCAATGCAGATGCGATGTCAGTAACTTTTCTCGAAAAGCCGGTCACGGCGACGCACTGTTTCCACAGTGCTCTAGCTACGGCCGCAGCATCCTCCAAAATGGTTGCATACATAACGCTATGCGCAACAGGCAAACAGAGCAAAGACGAGACAAACTCTCTATACTCTCCTATCGTGTCTTATATGATTCACAAGGGGGATTGACGCCATTCAGGCCCGTGAAGGAGGAGGGGGGGAGGGGGCTGACGCAATTCAGGCCCGAGAGGGAGGGGGGGGGGGGCTGACGCCATTCAGGCCCAGGAGGGAGGAGGGGGGAGCTTCGCTCTGTCCGAGGGGGAGGGGGGGCGGGGGGGCTGACGCCATTCAGGCCCAGGAGGGAGAGGGGGGGCGGGCTGACGCCATTCAGGCCTGGGAGGGAGGAGGGGAGGGGGGTCGCTCTGTGGGGGGAGGGGAGGGGGGCTGACGCCATTCAGGTCCTGGGGGGGAGGGGGGGGGGGGCAGGCTGACGCCATTCAGGCCCGGAGGGAGGGGGGGGGAGGGGGGGGCTGACGCATTCAGGCCCGGGAGGAAGGAGGGGGGGAGGGGCTGACGCCATTCAAGCCCGGGAGGGGGAAGGAGGGGGGAGGGGGGCTGACGCCATTCAGGCCCTGGAGGGAGGAGAGGGGGGGGGGGGGGGGCAGGCTGACGCATTCAGGCCTTGGAGGGAGGAGGGGGGGGCTGACGCCATTCAGGCCCGGGAGGAAGGAAGGGGGGGGGGAGGGGGCTGACGCCATTCAGGCCCGGGAGGGGGAAGTGTGGGGGGACTGACGCCATTCAGGCCCTGGAGGGGGGAGGGGAAGGGGCTTCGCTCCATGGGGGGGGAGGCTGACGCCATTCAGGCCCGGGGAGGGGGGGGGGGGGGGGGGGCTGACGCCATACAGGCCCCGGAGGGAGGAAGGTGGTGGGGCTTCGCTCTGTCGGAGGGGGGGGGGGGAGGCTGACGCTCAGGCCCGGGAGGGAGGAGGGGGGGGAGGGGGAGACTGGTCCATTCAGGCCCGGGAGGGGGGAGGTGTGGAGGGGGAACGCCATGGAGAGGAAGGGGAGGGGGGGGGAACGCCATGGCTGACGCCATTCAGACCCGAAAGGGGGGACGGGGGGGGAGCTCGCTCAAGCTTCGCTCTGTCGGGGGGGGGAGGCGACTGACGCCATAGCTGACACCACTCAGGCCCAGGAGGGGAAGGGGGGAGGGGGGGGGCGACGCCATGGCTGACGCCATTCAGGCCCGCGAGGGAGGAGTCGGGGAGAGGGGAGGAGGGCTGACGCCATGGCTGACGCCATTCAGGCCCGGAGAGGGGGAGGGACGGGGGAGCTCGCTCAAGCTTCACTCTGTCGGGGGGGGGGGGGGGGCTGACGCCATAGCTGACACCATTGAGGCTCGGGAGAGGGGGAGGGAGGGCCGACGCCATGGCTGACGCCATTCACGCCCGGAACGGGGGAGTCGGGGGGGGGGGCGGGGGCTGACGCCATGGCTGACGCCATTCAGGCCCAGAAGGTGGGAGGGGACATCCCATGAGTTTGGCCGTTCACGCGAGATCGTCACTTTCGAATACCCGAAGGTTGCCCAAGCGAGTTCACATTTCTATATTATGAGGATGTCTCGAGCGAGAGCTCTAAAAGGTCATCCGTTGCAAGCAGAATCACCCCGGATCGGCGGCACTGGAAGGAGGCAACTACAATACATGCCAGGTGCACGCTGCGGCAAAATCTTGGACCATGCGCGGGCGCCCAGCGATCATGTTGCATTTGTTCTTTGAAATGGACGATCGGGAAGTCCCTAGTACACGCGACGCACTTCGCGGGCGCTGCGCATCCAGCTGACGTCTGCATTGGTCATCCATCATTGCCGATGGCGGCCCGTGCCTATAAGGAGACTCGGGCGCTACTCTTGTGGCGCGGGCAGCCACAGCCCCTAGAGCAACTATGCCAACGACTTGACGGAGGGCAGCATGCCGCCAATCCACGCGCTCAAAGCTCAGTGACAAAATGACAGGTGAACGTTTTCTCCTTCGGCGTTTCGACATTGGGCGGAAGGGGGGGGAGGGGGGGGTCTGGCTCCGGACCTCTGCTTAATGCGACTGTTTGCAACAGTGCGTCTTATGGAGGAGACTCGACCTGCCTGAAGCAGGCGCCAAAGAGCGCCAAGATCCAGTCCAGGGGTGGGGAGGGCGCTTGAAGGCCCGCGCCGATCGGTGGAACAATGCTTACGAGAACGATCCCAGGGCGAGGTCACCGCCCAGACGGCGAGCGGAGAAGACCAGGCCACCCGGGCGGAGGAGGCGAGGATCGGCTTCCGCTCCTGCGCGAAAGAGGTCGGAGGTGGCGTGGGACACGAGGAGCCGTGCGACGGCGCCCGCAGAAGGTCATGGCACGC